GCGCAAGCTCGTGAATAGCTTCATCCGGAATCTCGTCACGCATGTGCAAACACAGGATAAGAGAACAACCACATGAATTTATTGCAATTGTAAAAATACATTAACACGTGTGATGAAAGTATGCATCATATCTGAATAAGATTTTTCCTATTTCTTAATATTTTACGTAGAAACACGGTGAATGTGGTAGGAGTTTACAAACATGATGTCATTACATGTGATTTGTCGGCTGCTCTGACAACAGGGGCAAGCTGTCATAACCAGTGTGTTTATATCAAATAACTAACGTCCACTAATCCGTAATAAGTAATATCGTCAGTAGCATCCTTCATATCATAAGCTGATTATGTGCCGAAAACATGTCACAGATTCTCCTGTGATATACATTCATAAATATGATGAATAACTTGATCTGGTTTAATGAGTATGTTCTATTGAACAAATGGCCAAGACAAATATTAGATTAAGGTACTTTTGTGAGAACAAAGCACACAAAATCGATTCAATCAGAATTGTAAAGAAAATTAATTTTCTTATAACGGTTCGTTCGACACAAATGTAGTTTTTCATCTTTCAAGTCATAATCTTGTCATTTTGAGTGCTTCATGTGGGGTAGTTATCCATGCTATAAATTTTCCCATTACATGGTGTTAAGGTAAGCTGTCTTTGAGTCGCCTTGTTGAGACTCTTATTTAAAGGTAAGAAAGTGACATAAACCGGCCACATATGTGATTCAAGCCTTGTCAAACATAACCTGTACCGATTAAATGACCATATATGGACGAATACCACGTGACGCCACCCAAAGTGTGACACGTGTTTGTGTAATAAACCTTTATCGTCTTATTTTAAGTTCATAAACTACATCTGCCACAACAAGTTCTCGTCCATTACATTTTACTAGGTCTAACAAAATTCCGTAATATAATACCACAAATAAAAGATTAACAAAATAGACAGGTTTATGGTTTTGCATAGATATTGGTTATCAAAGGTTTTGATCAATATCTGTGAATAATAAACGCCCACGTGTATTATATAAAACTAGAATATCATAATATCAATTAACATTTAACACAACAGATAAATAAAAGATTGGTTATAACACGAAAGATACAAGGACTGATATTTACCGTTGAACAGTTACGTTGTACAACGGAGAACATTTACTCAAAAAACTTGATCTTTAAACTAAACGATGTTTAAAATAAATATATCTCAAGACGAGAATAAAACAAAATCATATCATTCGGGAGTAAGTAGCACCTTCCGGAGACTCACATTTGGTGTGTAGCGAATACTTGTCCTTTGGTAGAAATGTAACGTGTTATGTTTTAAATCAAAATAAATGTAACTTGATGAATTATCTATGTTTATAAGATCAACGTAACACACACACGTAAAATTTGGTAATTGCCAAAAATAAATAACACTGTATTATGCAGCTGTTTCGTCCTTCTAGGCTCATCTGTGATGCTGGGGCCAAAAAGTAGGAATTCCAAATTGTTCTAACCAACTGTTGAAACAGAAGGGGGGGTAGTTATTACCCATTAATTTATTCAAAATTTAGAGTAGTACTGGTAAATTTCAAATTAAATATAAAGTAAAGTATAAATACGATGGAGTTGTTTCTTTTTCGGCATCATAAACACTGTATCGCAGGGAGATACTATGTTTTGTTTCCCTAAGTTGCTCTCTGGAAGTATGATATACTCTCGGTAATGTAACATGTCTCCATTCTTCGTGTAGCAGAAATTGTATAGAGATATACATATCACAGACAAATATGTGGGAAACGGCCAAATCTAAATGTTGTATTTTCATTAGTAATAAGATCATCTGTGACATATGCTGATCGGTCATTACGTAGAGGAAATTGTCGTACCGAGCAGATAGATAGGCATGTTACGGTGTCCATTTTGCGATCTTCTAGTTCATAGAATATTTACAAAAAAACGGTAGGGCATTTACAAGCTTTGGCCCAAACTGTTTACATAACGTACGCCCTCAGGAGTCTAAGGTTGTTTTGCCGGTCCTGATAAGACACCTTTGATGTGTTTTTAATAACGATTTCTCAACATGTTTCAAATACAATACAGTAACATTTGTTTCCGAAAAGAAACGTTTATAGAACATTACGTGCTTGATTAAACGATTATTTTGCCTCTATGAAGTTTTTTGTGGGTTCATGAAATTAAAAAGAATGACACAGCTAGACACCCTCACAGTTAACAGCAAATCTTCACCGACCGATTTCTTAAATAACAGTATACATTTAGCTCAAGCCTGCTGAATTGATCGGTTCAAGAGTTACTCCACATGATATGTAACAGTTGTTTCCTCATGGTGAGAAATCATAGACTGTTTCTGTCGTAATTGTCCCTTACACGACTTGTCAATTATATTCTTGTAACAATGTTCGCGGTCCCTTGCACGTGTTTTACAACACGGCTAAACACAATCACTCCACAGATGTATGTAAACGCATGGAAACGGGTATACAACGTCAATGTAGAATTGTGCAAATGATCTAAAATCATATTAAAAAGTTCACATGCTAAGAAACTGCACCAGATGTAAGCTTTGATCTATATTACCGCTTTAACGTTCTGATTTACAAGGTTTTCTAAAATATTTCCTGCATGGTCTTGATTTACTAGGGTGTTACTAACAAGCGTATGTAGAATGCACAGAAAAAGTATTCACTGAAAATTGTCATTTCATAAAAAGGGTGTTTGAAACAAGGACAATCTTCTGAAAAGAAGATATTCGTATTCGGGTCACAGAAGGCTCAAGATGACATCATTTGTACAAAGACTATTCTGATATTCAACAACTCTATTATACTGCCACCATCTGTCCAATGAAATGTATGGCGTTATAAGGGGGTTTACCGATAAATTGAGGGAAATGTAAAAAGGAATTCTTAAAAAGTAACAAAAAGCGCCATTAAAATATGATGATGGTAAACGAGGTGGAAAATGAAATGTGGGCATTATATCGAGGTTGAACTATAGGGTCGGATATCTCGTATATCTAGTGATAAATGTTCGTGCCAAGGCCGTTGACGCTGCTGCTGGACTATCAGTTCTCGAGGTTTTTGCCTTAATCCTGTAGCTGGAAGTTATTCTGGTACGATTTACATGAAATAAGAGTTAAAGAATTAATTACCTATTCCAATCAGAAGCCTGTAAAATTATGGCGAAATAAAGGGTTTTATCACACCTTTCACTTTTGCTTTATTTCTATTTTTACAATCTACAATTTTCTTTCTGCATCAACGAACTAAATTTTTACATTATTTCTTTCTGATTTCATATTAAGATAAGCTATACGATCATAACATCTTCTCTGCATTCTGAATGAGTTTGTTCAGGGCTGAACCTCATCGGCGTTTATCTAGGACTTTACCTCGTCGGAGTTTGTTCAGGGCTTTCCCTCGTCTTGGTTTTTTCAGCGTTTTTCCTCGTCTAAGTTTGCTCAGGGCTTTCCCTTGTCATAGTTTGTTCAGGACTTTCCCTCGTCGTAGTTTGTTCAAGGTTTTACCTCGTTGACGTTTGTTCAAGACTTTCCCTCGCCATAGTTTGTTCAAGACTTCCCCTCGCCGTAGATTGTTCAGGGTTTTCCCTCGTCGTGGTTTGTTCAGGATTTTCCCTCGTCTTGGTTTGTTAAGCGCTCTCCCTCGGCGTGGTTTGTTCAGCGCTTTCCCTTGTCACAGTTTGTTCAGGACTTTCCCTCGTCGTAGTTTGTTCAGTGTTTTCCCTCGTCGTCGTGTGTTCAAGACTTTTCCTCGCCGAAGTGTGTTCAAGACTTTCCCTCGTCGTGGTTTGTTCAGGGCTTTCTGTCGCCGTAGTTTGTTCAGGGTTTTCCCTCGTCTTCGTTTGTTCAATACGTTCCCTCGCCGTAGTTTGTACAAGACTTTCCCTCGTCGCTGTTTGTTCAGGGCTTTCCCTCGTCGCCGTTGGTTCAGGGCTTTCCCTCGTTGCCGTTTGTTCAGGGCTTTCCCTCGCCGTAGTTTGTTCAGGGTTTTCCCTCGTTGTGGTTTGTTCATGATTTTCACTCGTCGCAGTTTGTTCAGCGCTTTCCCTCGTCGTGATTTGTTCAGCGCTTTCCCTCGTCGCCGTTTGTTCAGGGCTTTCCCTCGTCGTGGTTTGTTCAGTGCTTTCCCTCGTCGTGGTTTGTTCAGCGCTTTCCCTCGTCATGGTTTGCTCAAGACTTTCTCTCGTCACCGTTTGTTCAGGGTTTTCCCTTGTCATTGTTTGTTCAGGGCTTTCCCTCGTCGCCGTTTGTTCAGGACTTTCCCTCGTCGCAGTTTGTTCAGCGCTTTTCCTCGTCGTGGTTTGTTCAGGGTTTTCCGTCGTCGCCGTTTTACGGTTGATTCAACAGACGCTAAAAAAAAATGTAAGCTATCACAAAGAGACAGAATAACACATGTAATGCACGACATGTGTCAAAAAATAGATAAAGAAATCAATTGTATTCTTACCTTACAGTTAATGTCCTCACAACAACCAAACACAGCAGCCAAGGCCATATGAAGACCGGAGGCCAGGGGAACACCAGCGAAAATAGATAATACGCAGCTCCCATGTTTTGCAACGAGGGCACCGGATCAATTATGGTGTCTTTAGGGTATCCAAAGCTGAATACACGGAAGAAAACCCCTGAAATTGTTGAGGCAAACACAAGTCACCTTTTAGGAGGACACTTTGTGGGAAGAAGCAAATTTAATCTTTTTCATCAAAAGTTGCAGGGATTTTGACAGTAATTGTGAAGAGATATAACATATAAGTCAAAAAGAGACAGGTGCCTCAGACAACATCGTTAGCAATCATACGCCGACAGACAACAAAAAATTAAATAAGCGACAAAAGAAATCTGGGACATTAGGGTATTTGAAAAAAAAGTGCAAGGAAATTAGGACCAGGTGCTCCGGGAGGGTAAGCGTTTTCTGCTTAATCGACGACAGCTGCAATGTAAATATATATCAAACCAAAGTCATGTCACGTCCTCCAAATGGGAACAGGGGAAATGGCAAGGAAACAACAAGGAACACTTATGTCAAGGAAACAACAAATAACACTAATGTCAAGGAAACAACAAGTAATAGTAATGACAACGAAACAACGAGGAATACTAATGTCAACGAAACACCAAGGAACACAAATGACAACGAAACAACAAGGAACACTAATGACAACGAAACAACAAGGAACACTAATGACAACGATACAACGAGGAACACTAATGTCGACGAAGCAACATGGAACACTAATGACAACGATACAACGAGGAACACTAATGACAACGATACAACGAGGAACACGTATGACAATGAAACAACAAGTAACACTAATTACAACGAAACAACAAGGAACACTAATGAAAACGAAGCAACAAGGAACATAAATGACAACGAAACAACGAGGAACAGTAATGACAACGAAGCAACAAGGAACACTAATGACAACGAAACAACAAGGAACACTAATGTCAACGAAGCAACAAGGAACACTAATGACAACGAAACAACAAGGAACACTAATGACAACGAAACAACAAGGAACACTAATGACAACGAAGCAACAAGGAACACTTATGACAACGAACCAACAAGGAACACTAACAACAACGAAACAACAGGAAATAATTCTGACAACGAAACAACAAGGAACATTAATGAGCATAATTAGAAAGTTCGCTGTTCATACCATACAAGGAAATGGCATAATACCTTCCGATATCATGACTGCGACCATAACACGTGCCTATAGTCTACATCAACCTGCCTATCTGGAGACCCTGTGTTGTAAGTTTTCTCCGTCAGCAGTCGACCTCATGGACATTATGATATTCGATGCAAGCTCTTGAACAATTTTACAATTCATGTACAGTATAGGGTTTCAAGAAAATCTTCTGGATACAAAAAGAAATATTTTATTTCATTTTTGTTTTTCAGAAACAGAATATCACAATTATAAATGCATGTACAGGACTCCAGAAAATAACACATCTGGAACCTTGATTATAGATGATTTACGAGAGTCATTTGTCTGCACCTGCACAGATATAAAGCATTAAGTAAAACCCACAGTATAAAATATTATGTCACCGTATTCAGAACTCATTTCCTAGGTATTATGACAATTTAAGCTTGACATGAATGACACTTGACTTTGCTGTTATTTAATATTACATTAACTGCTGAAATAATGAATAAAAAATGCAGATAACATCATAAAACACTATTTTTGTCAACTGTGATTATTTCAAATCCGGGACCATAAAGGTTTTTTCCCATCCCTATGTTTTGTATTGGAGGGAAACGTCATTGACTCATTGTGTTAATAGATTTTGAGGATTGGTAGATACAAAAGCATTTTAAATGTTAGTTTTCATAACACCAAACTCTATGGTAGCTAGCTGAGAGCCGCTTCTTATTAGAAACACAAGGTCAATGTCAAAAGATATTTATCATGTCTGCCATGTCTGGACATCGAGCTGTGATGACCCTAAAAGTGCATTGCAGTATTTGGGCACAGTCTTGTTGACAGTGGTCGAAAATTAAATAATCTAAGTTATCATAATAAATACGTAAAGAAGTAAAGAAGAACTGTTTTACTCATATACCCCTGAACTTTATAATGAGCTATTCCAACCTTTGAATTGGAAGAGTTCAAACGTGTCTTCAGGGATGAATGTGTTTATCAATAAGTTGAGGAAGAAATTCAAACAAAATCGTTTACTGCACCATCTGCCTACGCAGGTATTTAGGACTCTTTAGTTGTACAAAGGCCAGAATATCAAAATTTCACGTCTGAAATGTTCTCAAACGTGAGAGAAACAAACAGCAAAAGGGCAAAGGTACGTATAAACCCCTTCATAAAGGTTACATTTATACACCTTTTGACAACACCAGGTAATTAATTTTGAATCAATTTTTTATGTAAACCACGTCAGATTTAATGCCAGCAACATGGTTACGTTGGGAAGGATGTTTTGTACTCAGTATAACAAAAAGAAACAACGATATAACGAGCTAGTTCTTTCAACAGAAATGTTTTCATACGATTTTGACACCTCGTTCGATTCCAGAAACATTTTTGATTCAAAATTAATTATAACACCCATATCCAGACTGGATAGTTTAAATAATCCATGCGTTCACAGTCACATTACACCGATGTTTTATTACGAAAGGTGGTCGATGGCCTTGAAATTTGAAGCAACAAGATAATCTGCAGTGTTTACCTAAAATATTAATATTAAACTGCCCTTATTGTCATTCTACGTATCCTTGGACTCACTTAAAAATCTGAAAAACAAATAATCACCTACGGATATCACAAAGCCATATATCTGCAAACTCTTTCCAAAAAAGAATTAATATTTTACAACAAAAAAAGGAGTTGATAAAAATTGATAGAAAAAAAGATCATATACCGGCACATTGTCCTATCCAATCCATTGCTTCCTTGATGTGTCAGATTATTCAGATCTCAATTACAATTACTTAGGTGACTGTTGTGTATATTTTCATGTGTTTTATGAAAGAAATAACTTGACTTTATCATCTATTTAAATGAAGCACCTGACCACAAGCTTCGATGTTCTCATCGTCATAATGCAGACTCATAAGACGTTGTTTGCAAAGCTTGTGACATTACCTTGTTTGTAAATATCTGGATGTTTTAAGTACATCAATACCGTTCACGTCAGATTACAGTGTGGCCGAGCAGTCACAGCTGGTGTAGACCGAACTAGTCTGGCTATAATTTGTGGGATATTAACACGAATTAATGGAATTATTATGGATTTGTGTATTTAATAAGTCTCTATTATGTTGTATATCGAGGTAACATCTTGAGGTTTTGTCGATCGAGCGAACCCCACGAGCTGGCCATATACACTGAAAGCGAAAGTAAAGAGACAGACGATATACATCAATAAAATATCAAAGGCCTATTGGCACGTCGGTAAATAGCGTCTAGAAATACAGAGGACAGGGCTGGAAAGGATATACTCACAAAATCACGATCTTTCTAATCACAAAAAGTAACAAAGTAACGCATAAAATAGCCAGACTGCACCAGATTGTTGCATTAAAAATATGTTTTAAACAGATGTCTGTGCACCGCCTCCCAGGCAAATGCAAAACAGGGACATCGGCTGAACTCGTACAGTGTTGTATACGCTTAAAGAAATTTGTTTTGGATTTTCCTATACTTACATTTGGACGAATAGATCTGGTTTTTAACGGATTTATTTAACATATATCTTGTTGGTTGATTTCTACAGATGGATGAACAGGAGCTATTAAGAATGATTTCTTTTATAAAATGTTATGTAATATTTGTATCATATATAACACATGTCAGTATAAATATGGCATATTAATCAATAATATATTATAATATGATATCAGTGTATTATAGATTGGTATAACTACGATATCTTACAATACAATGAATATATATCTATAATCGATTATACTGCACAGGGGTATAACTATGATATAATATAAAACGTATGTATATATATATATATATATATATATATAGTAATTTAGGTATAACTATGATATAATATAAAACGTATGTATATATAGTAATATAGGTATAACTATGATATAATATAAAACGTATGTATATATATATATAGTAATATAGGTATAACTATGATATAATATAAAACGGATGTATATATATATAGTAATATAAGTATAACTATGATATAATATAAAACGTATGTATATATATATATATATATGATATATTTTCATGCACGGGTGTTTGACTATGATGTTTTACATAATGTATTACACTTGTGAGTATAAATTTGATATATATTACAAAACATGTGAGTATATTATATAAGTACCAGTGATTTTTGAAACACATGTGTTATGTCCTGAACTATATGTCTTTTTACTGTGGGACTCGCTCTCATTTTAAAACACACTCAATCTCTTAACGGGTCGCATCAACATTTAGAAAATGGTGCTCAAGACTTGCCGGAAAAAACTCCCGCAAAATCGCTGTAAAATATATATACATATGAGTGCTACTATCAAACATTAATGATACGTTTGTACAATTGTATTTGTATTGAATAGTATAATACAGGTGAGCATAGTATTACATATTATTGGCAGCATGGGCATAACTTTAATGAATGTTTATTATTATGATATTCATCAGAATAAATATGAAATATGAAATACGGGCCAAAACCTGTAGAAATTTTATAATACACAAAAATCTAATTATGATACTTTATATAACATGTTGATATGGCAACAACTATTCCTTTATAAATGAAGTATACCTACGACATTTACATGTATACACACTTTTTGCATCTTATGATAAACAAACTACATATCTGGTATAAATGTAACCTGTCGTGCTTGTGTAAGCTTTCAAATAAAAAAGAGACAATCTATCAGAAACCGTAACCCATTCACAGCACACGATGGCAAGATGACCCCAGTTGACCCAGTAACCTGTGCTATTTAGTATGACTTACTGGTTATGTAAAACGGAACGTTAATAAATACGACATCAACCTTTTGAACGAAATGGAAAAATCTGAATCACCTTAGCACACATATGTTACACTCTCTCTGATAAAAAAAACCAAGAAGGCAGTCAGTGTAGGTAAGAATAAACCTCAGTTCACAACTGAACAAATCATACAGTAGCTTAACTGAAGTCCCTCTTACTAATGTACCAACCCGACTATATTTTGCACGAAGAAGGTAAAACAGTCCTTTAATTTTGCGAAGGATTTAAATTATCAGGAGAATCAAATTCAAGTTCAGTCATTTTCATATAAATAAGGAAAATACAGACATACCCAGTGTTTTCAAACTGTAGATCCGATTTTGTTTATATCTTCCACTTTCGTGTAGATTTGTAAAAGCTACTGGTTTTCCATTTACAACTAGTTGTGTAACTGATAACCGTGATTTTGTCTAGGTTGCTGTTGTTAGAATAACATTATGTCAAGTTCAGGACGAAAAGGTGGGTTTTTTTCATTTATTCGTCAAAAGTAATATCCTCGGTGGATGGTACGTTTACTCGGAGGCTTCGATAACGGTGGTTATTCCATGAAAGTCAACTTGGTCATCACAAGAGACAGAAGTAAGATATTAACGAAGTTTGATAACTGTCCAGAAGGGTCGTTGATCTCCCTTTCTCCTGCCTTTCACTGAATTGTCACCCGTTTTACATGTTCAATTGTAACGGAACTAGACTGGGTCTATCGTTGGCGACCAGGTAGCTCAATAGTTGAAGCGTCTGTCTAGAGTTTTCTGTCACTCCCTCGGGTATGACTGATTACACGTAGTAAAACAACTATGACGTAACGGAAACCATAAGATGTGACGTCGTAAACAGCTCTCGACGAGAGAAATCAGAATAACAGACATAGTATAAATGTATGATGAAAAGTACTGCTTTTAAAAAGTATGTTGAGGGGATGGGAGAAAAGTCATCATCCCCTCGGCTGGGCCTCGGGTTAGACATAAAAAAAGTTCACCCCTCGGGTTTGAGATTTCTCTGTCACACCTTCAAAGTAGGAGAAGACTCTCTTTAAGTCATTTATTTCATCTTGCTTCAACTCGTGAAAATTATGAATTATGTCTTTTTTATATATATATTACCTGTACGTGAGTTGTATTACATGAGGA